AAGAAAAAATGAAATCAAGTTCTACAACACTATTTGAATGGACTAAAGATTAAGATTGTTCGAAGTAAAAGGAAGGAATATAAAGTTGGTTTATTTGATCAAGGTTAACATAGATATGTTCCGATTTCTGGTAACCCTTAATGAACTTTTGCTGATACCAGGATTGAAATGATTATGCTTTATGGATTTGTTTATAGATTAGAGATGGGATATGGGAAGAAGAGATTATTTGTTGTATTTTAAGAGGAGGTGATGTTAATATAATTCTTTATACTTGTGATGAATGTTGGAAGTAACTTCTTTATATATTTATTTTATTTTTCTTTATTATATTCTTACTTTCATTTACTATTTTTCCCTTTTTCTTTCCTGCAGTTTCTACTCTATTTTTCTACCCTTCTTTTAGTTTGCATTAGTTTTTACTATTCTAATTATAATCATTAATAACATTACTATAAAAAAAGAAAAATACAAAAGGTAGCTATTAGCAAATTAGAGAAGTGCAGTGTGGCTTTATGTCACATAAGAGGTATGGTGACCAGATCTTTGTCCCTCAGCAGGGGATTGAAAAAGTGAAAAGCCTCGAAGTTTGATTGCTGGATGTGGGTTACAGTGGTATATGATGGAAATAAAGCATGTGTGAGTTAGGAAATTATAATATGCTTACTTATGATAATGTTAGTGGTGTGTTGGTTGGAGACATCAGTGTGCATGTACTTTGGTATTAAGATGAAGCCATGATGTTGCCTGAAATCCAAATGATCTGCAGTGAATGATGGAATATGTAATGAAACAAAGAATATGGATCAAAAAAGTAATGTATCAAAGATCAAGATTGTTGCACTTGACAATGAAAATGAACTATTACAAGTTATCAAAAATGGCCCAAAACTAGAACAAGTAGATCAAATGGTCTACCTTGGGAGAACCTAAAGACTGGAAATGAATGGAGAATTTTTAAGACATGTAAATGTTTTAGAAAGATAGTGAGTGGTATTTTGTGAGGAATTCATGCTTGTTGAAAGAAGAAAAAAAATATTGTGCATAAGTGTGTGCTTCTGCTTATTTGTTATATGGTAGTGAGAGGTGGGTACACTAAGAGAAACATAAAAGTAAATTGAATGCAGGGAATGGATTATGGTGAAACAAAAAAACATAGGACAAGAACAAATGTTTGCTGAATTAATTTGATTGAATACAAAGTGTGACCTGTATGAAAGAAGTACATTGAGGTGGTTTGATCAAGAGAGAGAATGAATAAGTACAGAATTGCAAAACAAACTATGAAGGAAGAATAATTAGGTCAGGGAAGGGGAAGACTGAGAAAGTCAAGTTGGATGCAGTTGATGAGATTCTAAAGAAAGATGACAATAAGACAATGTATGAAATGCATACATTGTACTTGCATGTTAGCTATGTATGGCATGTATTTGCACTGGACTGCCATGAGCTTATTTCCAGCAGGGGGTTTGAAACGAAATTATGGTTTCTTCCTTTTTTTTCTCTTTTATGACTTTTTGTGTATATTTCACATATATGCAGGAGACACAAAGTATTCATTCAATTCCCACTTTAATTCCCACTCTCTTCACACACTACCAACAAGTCTCCAGTGACATCTTTTGAATGAGATGTTCGAAACGAAAGGATGAGTTGGTTTAAACCACTGTATGCTTTAATTAATTTTAGCTGACAGGTGAAAAACTCAAAGGTGAGCAACTGTGGAGAGTCTTTGTATTGAGGGTGCAATAAAAAAAAATTGAATAAACAAACATCAAATATCATTTATCATCTCTACTCATTTTGCACTCTCCATTTTGTGACTGAAGAGCAAAAAGAAGGCAGCTTTATAAACCCCAGAATGAATTAAATTTTATTTAAAGTTTTATTTATGAATGCTTCTGCTTCCTGTCTCATCTCATATATCATTTTACAGCATACTAACTGTGTACTCTTTGAGATTTGCATAAATCACAAGTCTGCAAATGTTCCCCCCTCCCGAACTAAAAGATTATTAGAAATGTAAAACACTTTATTTATAAGACCGTTGGCAGACAATGGAGACATGAAACTCATGTAGGAACACATGGGGCATTTGCCAGGTCTTCTGCAGAGTGTCAGTTAGAGTATAACAGCCAGTTCCAAGGTTCAATCAAAGTAACTTGTGACTCTCATTTCAGTGAAATATGCATCAGTAAACACTACTGATGCAACAGTACGTTGGAAATACTTGTGATGAATTATTTTTTTCCGAATGATATATATTGTTGAAGTGATACATCATATTTAGACAATGTGGCACTTCCTGAAGCCTCAGTCACTATCAAATAGAAAAATAAACATCCTTTTAAGCAATCCTGTATAAATGGGATTTTATTCCATTAATTCAATGTTAACTTCTTCGAAATCTGCAGGTGCAAAATAGGCTTGGAATTTATTCATTTGCTTTGGGGCTTACAGAAGAACAATTTAAAGTTGTAGCACCCCTTCTTGTAAATGTTTAGGGCAAAAAAAAAATTTACAACTGGAAATTGCATACAGCAATCTCTTTGCACCTGTTAGACTTCTGACCTTTAGATAAAGGGAGTCTTGCTGCACTTCCCTGGGTTTTACTAACCTGGCCTACTGTTGGTAAAATGAGTCTCTGTGTTTAATACATTAGGGCAGTGTTTCTCAACCTTAGCAGCTTTCAGATGGGTGGACTTCAACTCCCAGAATTCCTTGCTGGCTGGGAAATTCTGGGAGTTGAAGTCCATCCATCTGAAAGTTGCCAAGGTTAAGAAACACTGCATTAGGGAAACTTCTTATCTTTTGTCATTTATTTATTTAATTCAATTTGTATGTCTGCTCACTTACCATCCAACTTTGGCCAGCTAACATCCAGTTAAAAATATCAACAAAATAATTAAACAAAAGTTAAACTACATCTTGTTTGAGGCAGTTCACATATCCACAGCCAATAGACCCCTTCAATTGGGGTCACCTAATCTCCTGGCTCCACATCTGGAGAAAGGACCAGGTGTTCAACACCTTATGAAAGGACTATAGAATTAGGATCTTCTGGATTAGGCCTTCAAGGGGGCATGTTGTTCCATAGGGTGAGCACAGTGACAGAGAAGACACACCTCCTAGGCCCATTGGATGACACTGTTTAATAGAGCAAGTTGAAGCATGCCCACCCTGTCAGATCTTGTGGCACAGGCAGAAATAATTGAAGAATGATGGTCCTACAAATAAGCCTGGCCTGTGCTATGAAGGGCTTTGAAGATGACAACCAGCACCATCAGTTGCACCCAGAAGCCCATCAAGAGCCAATTTAGCTTACGAAGTAGTTGTGAAACGTGAGCATACCAAGGAAAGTCCCTGACTAGCCACACACTTGAAGACCACTCAGACGCTATAGTAGATCCAGAATACTGCAGCAAGGTGGACGACTCAGTTACAGTAGTGATGAATGCACCGTTGGAAGACTTGAAAGAACAGTTTAGGGACAGATTGTCATGGAAAAAAATCTATTATGTGACATCAAGTCAAAAATTACTCAGTGGCACATAATCAATCATGCCTCACATGAGAACTCTGGGTTGATTTGTTTGATGAACCATCGGTTTGTTTTCTTGGCTGTCCACGGTATTCCCAGGAGTCTTCTCCGAGACCAAAGTTCAAAGCTGTCAATACCCTTCCTATCTTGCTTCTTCAAAGTCCATTTGTGTCACTGCCTCCTCATAAATGATTTTTTTTTTGTCCACAATTATTGAAACATGAAATCTCCATTTTGCAACTTATTTCTTATTTTTAACTTTTAAAAACTCAACAACTGCAAATATCCCAGTTGGGATGATAGCTCTCAGATTAATGAAAGCTGGCTTAGCTTGTAGAAAAAAAGAATATTCATCCAATAAACATTTGACTGTTTAACAAGTTGGGAGGAAATAAAAGATGGTACCTTCTGCTGTATTAACATAAGATATGCGTGGGAAAGATAATTTTCTACCCTCCTATAATAAAACTTTCAGCTTCCCAGTTTGAAACATACTGTTCATAATCTAGCAATAAATATTAATCACTGACACTTCAGTCTTTAAACACATTTACCAGAGTGAGCTTATTAGATAGAAAGCATTTGAAATGTACCTGAAGAGACATGTTCAGGATTGTGGATCCTTGCAAATAATGAGCACAAATCTTTGAAAGCCAAAAACGGCTTTGAAAACTTGGCTTTGGTCCCAGGCCTGGGGTTGATGTTTATTATTGTTGATTTTGTTGTCTATTAGATTATTTTAGTCTGGGCTGTTTAATGTTTTTAGCTGTTTTTATGCTTTCTCTAGTTTTGTACGCCACCCAGAGTCCACTGCAGTTGGGCTGTCAATCAATCAATCTCTATAAACATTTAGAAGTGACTCTCGTTTTGCTTCCAAGGAAAACTACATCGACACTTTAAAGTTTCACGTAATTCAGTGAAAGAAACTTCCCTAGCCATCCTGTACATGTACCGTAAGAAGTAAGTCTCAGTGAAGCAAACACGGTTTACTCTCCAGTTAACAATGCATCGGGCCACACCCTAGAACTTTGCTGAAGGTAAGAATAACAGCAGTTCAACAGCGGAACCAATTACCCAAAATAATGGTACCTTCCCCGTCACCGGATGTCTTAAAGCAGAAGGTAATCAAGTACGCTTTAATTTAAGTGAAAACAGCTTTCAAACTTCATGAGTCTATGGTCTCATCTATTAGAACGAACGCGGTCCGATCAAGTGAATCACGCGGCTTCCGAAAGTTTCGCCGGGCTCTTTTCTTTGATGGCAGCGTTCGGAAGCACGTGACCGGAGACACCACCTTCGCGCTCTGCAGCTTTTCCCGCGCCCTGCTAGGCCCGAGGGTTCCGCGCGCTTGCGCTTGAGCGTAGTGGAAGAGTTAGGGAGGGACGACGTTTGCTAGAAAGCTCCTTTGCGCGGGTGGGGTCGTGTGAGAAAGACCCAGAGAAGCTAGGGCCGACGGTGGATGGCTGGCGGCACGGGTTTCCGCATGGTGCCCCCGGGAGACGAGACCAGCGAGAGCGACGACGATGGCTGGGATATCGGGTTCGTGTCCCAGGCACAGGTGAGAGGCAGCGGCGGCGTCCGAGAAGACCCGCAGGTGTAAATCAAAGTGTGATTCGATTTCCTTGGGGCAAGCCAAGGCGCGTGCTTCAACCACGCACGTGCTTCTTTTTTTCCCGCCTTCCGAAGTCTTTGTTGTGATAACAGTTTTACAAAGTAGGCGACACCGAAAGAATGAGTAAATGTGCATCAGGCCCAAGATCACCCAGTGACCTTCATGGGTGGAATTTTCTCCTGATCTAAATCTTTATCAGCCACAGCTGATTTTGCTCTTTTCCGAGTATTTATTTGACAAATGATGCTAATTCTTTGCTAAATTAAACCTGATGGGCTGTAAACACATTGCTTGGTATCCACGTGTGGTCGTTATTGGAATCCATTTTACTTACAGATTGCAAGTAAATCATGATCAATCATTTACCGTCAAAATGGCTAAATTTGTCCAGTACATATGTACAAGTGTATATATTGATAATATTGGTTACAGTAAGGGCCAACATGCTGTGCCTGCATCAACTCAAAGTTCCAGGTTGAATAACCTAAATCATACATCACATAGGCCAGCTATTAAGTTGATTTTCTCAAATCAGATATGTTTTGGATTTTCTGGCATGAGAAAGTTGTGCAGGTAGCTCTGTGACTGTGCTGTCTTAAGCATGTTTATAAGTAAATCCACACTACTCAGTAATGCTCCTGTAAGTAAGTAGGACTGTAACCTTATTACAGGATATCAGTAATTTCATACTAATGTAACATTGTAAAGAATAACCAAGACAGTTTATGGCTGCATAGGAGTGGACTCCAATAATGATAGATTTGGATCTCTTCAGTGGCTATGGTTGAACATAATGATAAACCAGCCTTATAATTTTGGTGATAGGGCAGTCTAATAAGAGCCAGTTTGGTGTAGCAATTAAGGCCACTAGGCTAGAAATTGGGAGACTCCGTTCTAGTCCAGCCTTAGGCACAAAGCCAGCAGGGTGACCTTGGGCCAGTCACTCACTCAGCCCTAGGAAGAAGCAGGCAATGGCAAACCACTTCTGAAATCTTGGCAAGAAAACTGCAGGCAAAAAAAAAAAAGTCCAGGCAGTTGCCAGGAGTCAATGCTGACTTGAAGGTACCCTCCCCCCAAAAGGGGGGGGGGATTCTAATGGCATTTGAATCCCATTTCACTTCTCTCTTTAGTACAACTACTGAGCAGTGCATCTTGATTACTTATTTTTAGCTTAACCTCTTTCTAAATGTATCCAGTAATTTGAATCATCAGTGCATCTACTTTTTACTACATAAAAACAATACAGAGGGTACATTAGTGGTTAAAAAGTGGTCTTTACTTAGAAGAATAAAATATTTTTAAGTTTAGTTTTTAAAATGTTTGTCTGCTTTTGTTGTAACTCATGAAGCAGTTCATATAATAGTCCTAATATTGAATTAGTAAAATTACATATTGTAGCATAAATCTCTTGTTTACCTAGTGTTTAGATGAAACCTTGCATACCCAGGATAGAAATGAAGTTTTGAAAAAAGCATTAACTGCTGGAAACTTGTCTGTCATTGAAGAACTCTTAAATACAGGTATGAGTAATGGATTATCAGCTAAATGTAACACATTTTGAAAGTTCAGTTTTTACTGTAGTGGATATCTGTATTCCTCATCTGGGCACAGAATATGATCTTATTTAGATAAGTACTGTATAGGGGCTTATGGATCTACATCAATGACCTCATCCTTTTTCATCAGAGGAAACTACTTCTGAATTAGAAAAGTTCTAATTCAAAATTGATTTAGAAAAAAGAATAGTAAATGTGCTTTAAGAAGAAATAATAGAATTAACATTTTTGTCTTGGAAAGAATTGAAAGTCTGAAGACTTCATAATGGAAGTGAATTACATATTCTGGCAATCAGAAACATTAACTTTGAGCCATTAGGCTAAAATGACCCAACTTCAAAAATATTAAAGAATTAGATTGCTTTATCCTTCAATTTTCCTATTTCCTATTTTGACAGCTTTCAGACTTATATGGATAATTGAATGTCTTTCTATGTCTATTTCTATATCATAAGTGATGAATACTTGTGATAGTGTGCTATGAATGCACATAGCAGTAAGCCACAGTTTGCAACACATTTTAATTTGTGTGAAACAATGTAGCCATTGATCTGATAGTATACATGTTTTTTTTTTCTATTTTGTAAAAAATAAAGCTCTACAGAAATCAAGGATATTATTGTAGATTTTGTAGATTTTGTAGATTATATTACAGAAATAATCTTTCTTGTTGGCCTGCTCACTTGGCTTCCATGATTTATAGCAGACTGGTCGGTGAAGGACAGAGCAATATGATATTTATTATTTAATCAATTTATTAATTGTCTCAATCGCCAGTGCAAATCTTGGTGGTGCAGAAATATAAAAGAACAGTTTAGAACTGGCTAAATAGAGCCAACAAGCATATATAAACCACCCAAATTGGGAAACACCAGTACAAGCTACATACACCAGTGATGTCACAAATCATCAGTCCCAGGCCTTATTGGTTGCCTGCTGTATTTTCATGTTGTCTGAGGTGGGGGGATGCTTTACCTGTTTGGGAGCCTATCATTATTAAAGGAAAAGACTGGTCTAGGGTAGACAGATATTCTAGAAATAAAAAACTTTTTTTTTTTTTTGGGTAAAGGATTGCATTCCATTGTGAGTAATCACTGGGGAGTCCATGTGAACAGTGGGTTGTGTTTAAATAAACTTAGGGCAGGGCCATCTGTAGATAGTGGGTGGCCCCATCTGTAATATCTCTGCCTAATATTCCATTTCTATCTGTCTTTTGTTTTCTAACATCTTCTATCCATATCTTCTCACTTCCCCACTCAACAGGTTAAAATAAACTGTTTGCGGATGATTTTTGAAATAAGGAATGCAAGAAATGAGGCTGAAAGTCATATGTTGCCCATCCCTGCAGTAAAGTGATGTCAAGAACATTTGAAGACCTTAATTGTTGTAAAGAACCTTTCATTAGGCAGTTGTTGCAGAAAAACTAAATAGATTTTAAGTCAAACTATACTTTACAGATTTGTAGTAAAAGAGCACTGCCTGAATGTGGCACTGATATTGTCATCTGGTTGACTGCTATCAGTCTGAACTATTGGGTTTCAAACTAGTACTTATCTAGTGTAATTATCCAGCTTCCTTTTCTAAAATTTGAAACAGGACTATTGACCCTATGTAATACAAGGCAAATAATTAAAGGCAAAATGATCCTTTGATGAAACCAATGCATTTCACCTGAAAGAAAATACATATTCCAACTGCTTCTTTCAAAATTCTTTTAAACATTTAGGGAACAGTGGAGTTCAGACAACTTAGTTCTCTGAAGGAATATTATATTCTCACTTTTTATTTTACTGTATTCATTTTATGGTTTATAAAATGATTCACTTCACTGCAGACTCATAGATAATGTCCTGATAATAAAATGCTGGCTGCTTTCATTGATAGAAGAAACGTGACTTGGCTTGCTGTTTACATACCTTCAAAGATGAAGATAGAGAGGTCCAGAGAGTGAATGGTTCTTCAGAGTGCTCTGCCAATTCTACTGTCTGTTACTGGTGTTTAGGTAGTTACAGACTTTTACAAAAGGTTAGGTCATATCAAGCATGTGCAGATTTCTATAATAGAATAAAACATCATGGATTTCTGATTTATTAAATGCATATATAAATGTTACAGGCACAAATGTAGAGTCTACCCTTAAGTTTGGATGGACTCCCCTCATGTATGCAGCCAGTGTTGCAAATGTGGAACTTATGCATCTCCTTCTGGGCAGAGGTGCAAATGCAAGCTTTGAGAAGGGTAAGTTTTTATAAATGAACCATTTCAAGGATATGTTCCTAAGCATTCAGTATAATAATAAAAAATGTTTATTTAAAGACACAGTGACTTTGGCAGACCAAACTAAACACATCATGCATAAAGTATTCTTTGTATTCTCTCAGTGCTCCAAAAATACCTTGCTAATACCTGTGCTGTGACCTTATTTTCTTTATTATCCTGCACTTCTTTAATTTGCTTTTGGATGCTGCCATTCTACTTACTTCTGAGTGGAATGTAGAGTTGCAATTCTCTTGCTACATTTCTTAGCTCCTTAAATGTTGTGGATCTTCGTATTGGTAACAGCAATATATCAGGAGTCAGCAACCTTTAGCCCGTTTTTAGACCAGGCAGCCCTAAAATGAGGGACTTTGGGCATTTGTTTTTGGGGGCTTTGGGGAGAAAAAGAACAAAATGCACGCTGTAACCATGCATTTAACCTATAGTTATCCTGAAATTCCCCCAAATCAAGCTACTTTTGCCTGTTTTGGAAGTGGCTATATGGTGCCTTAAGTTTTTTAAAGAAGAAAGCTTCATTCCCTGGAGGCTAAGAACCTAGCTACAGCTAACTGGAAACTCAGCATTATCTCCAGAGTAGAGGTAGCAGGTATCCAAATACAAGTTGCAGGAGAACAAGGCCGGGAGCTTGGTACGTCTCCACCTTCTGCTTGGGTACACCCCAGAAACATCTTGTTGACTAACATGAGAAATAAAATGCTGACTAAGATGAGTCTTGGCCCTGATTCAACAGATCTGTTTTTAATTTCTTGGAAAACTTGGTGTTAGACTGATGTTTAAAAAATCAGTTTACAATCCAGTTATATGTCATGTTTGTAATAAGTTTGTAAAAACTTCATGTTTTTGTGAAGTATTCGTTGTGCCTGGTTTATTCTACAGAGTTGATGGTCTTTTTCAACTTGTTTTTAAACAATTGCTGTTTAGATCATTATACAGTATTGATGGCCGCATGTACTGCGTATGGTTCAGAAGAGCAGATTTTAAAGAGTGTAGAACTACTGCTTTCAAGGAATGCAAATCCTAATGCTGCATGCAAGTAAGCACAAAATTTATATTCCAGATTGCTGAAAAATTCATTTCATAATAAAGTAATACTTTATTCTTTGTATTGGATATCTACTGTTAACTTTATTAGTCCTATGTTGTTTTTCTTCATTTACTACCAACTGCATTTGACAAATGTTTAACTATTTATTAATGATATCTAATGTATGCTGTATTCGCCATAAATATATAAATAATTAATTGCATCCAGTTGTGACTGTCCATTAGAAGAATGGAAGATCATATGTCTTCCATTTAACTTGTTCACGCAGTTCTGTGCTAGCAAATGTGTACTTGGAGATTTAGAGCAGGTTTGATTGGCACAGAGAGGAATACAACAATTGAAATTTATCTTCTGGAAGAAAATTGTTATTGCACAAATAAGTCTAAATCTACATCTGTGATTGCATTGGTTACATTTTGCTGAGTAATTTTAATGCAGTATTTAGTGGACGTGTTATTTCTGCAAAAGGGAGTTGGTTATTTAGAACTAGCAATGAAGTCATTATGTTTGCTATTTCCATTAAAGGACCTGTCTTTGGAGATATTCCCTTTTCCTGTTTAAAAAAAATATTGTTCATAAAAGCAATAGACTATACACTCTGGGAGCACTTTTGTGATTTGCCCATGTGTAAGTTCCATTGGTACTGTGCAGATTCTTAAATATTGTCAGTAATAGTGACCTGTTCAGTTTTCCAATCTTGAATGTATAGCACAATCCTATACATGACTTCACAGAGGAAAATTCCATTAAGCCTGTGTAAGCATGACTAAAATTTCAGCCTTAATTTGTTTCTAATTAAAGACTTGGAACAGTTGCAGCAGCTGAATTGGCAAGAATCGAGACTGCAGATTCTTTACTATATTAATCTTATGTATTAATTTTCAATTAATAAACTGCTTTGAAATAATATTTTCTCTGTTAGAAATATTTACCAGTTTGGAGCATTTCTCTAGTAGAAGGAAGCTATCTGAGTAGCTTAAGTGATGGTCTGCAAAGTTGCATTCCTTTCAAGTTTTTCTAACTAGTATTCTATAGTATGTGAAGGGAAAATAAAACTAGGGAAAGAACTAACTTCATTCTAGTTTAGAAAAGATAATTTTGCTGTTTTAGTCTCTTCATTACAGGTTACCAGGCAGTGGGTGGCTAAAACGGTGTGATAACTTACAGTGCATTCGGAAAGTATTCAGACCCCCTTCACTTTTTTCAATTTTGTTATATTGCAGCCTGATACTACAATTGTTCAAATTCATTTTTTTTTCTTATTAATCTACACTCAGTGCCCCATAATGACAAAGTGAAAACAGAATTTTAGAAATGTCTGTAAATCTATTAAAAAGGAAAAACTGAAATATCACATGTACTTAATATTCAGACCCCCTTCACTTTTTTCAATTTTGTTATATTGCAGCCTGATACTACAATTGTTCAAATTCATTTTTTTTTCTTATTAATCTACACTCAGTGCCCCATAATGACAAAGTGAAAACAGAATTTTAGAAATGTCTGTAAATCTATTAAAAAGGAAAAACTGAAATATCACATGTACTTAAGTACTCAGACCCTTTACTCAGTACTTTGTTGAAGTACCTTTGCAAGTACCAATTATAGCCTCGAGTCTTTTTCGGTATAACGCGAGAAGCTTTGCACACCTGGATTGGAGGATTTTCTGCCATTCTTCTTTGCAAATCCTCTCAAGCTTAATCAGGTTGGATGGGGACTGGCGGTAGACAGCCATTGTCAGGTCTCTCCAGAGATGTTCGAATAGGGTTCAAGTCAGGGCTCTGGCTGGGCCACTCTAGG